ATTGTAACAAACATTGTTGCAGATTCCTATTTTTTGTTATTCTGTGTTTCTCTGTGAGCCAATCAGCAGCTAATCACTTCAAACATGTCTGGGACAAGCATAGATCTATACTCAGACAAAAAAGGAAAAAAAAAAAAAGTGAACAAAACAAAAAAAAACCCCCAAAACAAAAAATGAAAAGCAAACAAAAAAACCCAGAAAGAAAAAAAAAACCCCAAAAACACCCCCAAGAAAAAAAAAACAAAAACCACACATACTAAAAAAAAATGGGCGGACTCGATGGACCACTCTGTCTGTTGCTGCTGTCACTTTTCTATGTAAAATAATTGCCAGCAATTAAAAATAAATGGCGTGGGGTCCCCCCCCCCCCACACACCAATCCCTTTGGGTCTGGTATGGATTTTGAAGGGAACCCCATGCCAAAATTTAAAAAAAAAAAATAACATGGCATGGGGACCCCCCCCAAATCCTTACCAGGCCCTTATCCGAGCATACCCCGGGTCGATGACATCACAAGGCGGCAGGATCTGCTCAACAACCAGTACATACCACGAGCCTCGACCACGGCGTAATCACCGCATTTATTTATTTCCGTCAGTGAATCGACTTTAACGTCTTTTCTTACCGAACGTTTTTGCCATTTGTGGTAAATCCCGCATACTGCAACCGTGAATCGACATTTTCAGTTAATCTCACGCGATATGTGGTCACCTGACCGACCTGACGCATGCGATAACTTTTAGCGAGTTGTCCCCCACACACAGGGATGAAACTAATCCTCCTACATAAGTTGTACCTGTTACTCTGCTGCCCTCTCTCCCCCTACATCCATTGAAAGTCCAGAATTTATACATCTCTGAGCTTCAGAAGGCAGGGGGCAGGGATCTGACATCACAGACTGCACAGAGCAGGGAGCTGAGTGTAATCTGAGACCTGAGTGGAGGGAATGGGCACACACACACACCCCCTTCTACACAGTCTCATAGGGAAACATGCACTGCTGAGGCTGTCAATCGCCTGCTGTGTGCTGAAAGGGGGGGCATCTCCTTGGATTGTCTTCCAGAAGTGACTGATGCAGATCGCAGAGGGAAGAGACAGCAGACAGAAATCACACTCGGTGTTGTGGATTGAGTCACACCCTCTTGTTGCAATTCTCCATGTCTGAAGGGTGGTGGGACCCCCTCCTGTTGCTCTTCTCCATGTCTGAAGGGTGGTGGGACCCCCTCCTGTTGCTCTTCTCCATGTCTGAAGGGTGGTGGGACCCCCTCCTGTTGCTCCTCTTCCTATTTGAAGAGTGGTGGGACCCCCTCCTGTTGCTCTTCTCCATATGTGATGGGTGGTGGGAACCCCACCTGTTGCTCTTCTCCATATCTGAAGGGTAGTGGGACCCCCTCCTGTTGCTCGTCTCCATATCTGAAGGGTGGGTGTGACCGGTACCCGTTGCTCTTCTCCATGTCTGAAGGGTGGTGGGACCCCCACCAGTTGCTCTTCTCCATGTCTGAAGGGTGGTGGGACCCCCACCAGTTGCTCTTCTCCATGTCTGAAGGGTGGTGAGACCCCCACCAGTTGCTCTTCTCCATATCTGAAGGGTGGTGGACTCCCTCCTGTTGCTCTTCTCCATATCTGAAGGGTGGTGGACCCCCTCCTGTTGCTCTTCTCCATATGTGATGGGTGGTGGGACCCCTCCTGTTGCTCTTCTCCATATCTGAAGGGTGGTGGGACCCCCTCCTGTTGCTCTTCTCCATATGTAATGGGTGGTGGGACCCCCTCCTGTTGCTCTTCTCCATATCTGAAGGGTGGTGGACCCCCTCCTGTTGCTCTTCTCCATATCTGAAGGGTGGTGGGACCCCCTCCTGTTGCTCTTCTCCATATGTGATGGGTGGTGGGACCCCCTCCTGTTGCTCTTCTCCATATGTGATGGGACCCCCTCCTGTTGCTCTTCTCCATATGTGATGGGTGGTGGGACCCCCTCCTGTTGCTCTTCTCCATATCTGAAGGGTGTTGTGGATTGAGACAAGCACACATTGTAGAAGGAGATGCTTTGTTCATTTTGATGGTTGAGATGGAAGTCCTGCAGGGTCCCTGTAGGTGAGTCCTCCATGTTCTGTGCCGGACTATTCAACTGGACTAAACAAACACGAAATATAAAATAAACCACAAATCCAGAAACCTCTTCATACACCAATCACATCATCGCCTACAAACTCCAGAGAGCACAATTAAAGTCGGAAATGTCGCGATGGAGCCGCCCGGGTCCCACGTTGAAGCCCCAATTTGCCAAAATGGAAATCTGGGACAGAACCCCTCCCCCCCTCCCCCACGTATACGGAACCAGAATTCCCGGCAGATATAAATCCCAGCAAGCCCACTGACACCGTTCAGCCTGGTAGCGGCAGGGTGCATGCTGGGAAACGCAGCGATTGAGGATCACACAGCAGATCTGTGACACCAACGCAGACCGCAGAGGTGTCAGGAAACTTCGGTGGTGAAACTCGCAGATCTTATCTGTCCCGATGACGTCAATGAAGCCACAATATTGCTGTACGGGGAAGAGGATCAGACCGAGGCGAGGTGTCAGGCGAGGTGTCACTGCCAAAGGACTGAAATCAACGAACGCTCAACATCGATCTCCTCCACTGGAGGGCCACAGCAACCAAATGTATCATCTATATACACACATACTGTATACATATATGAGAGCGGAGGCAGAACATCTCCGAGGGATCCAGGATACAATGTAACGATGTGACTCTGCCAACAGATCATGGATTGTTACATTGTATGATGGAGACTTCATAGAACACACAGAGTGTGGGAAACTTTCAATCTTCTCCATATTTCAAGAGTGGTGGGACCCCCTCCTGTTGCTCTTCTCCATATCTGAAGGGTGGTGGGACCCCCTCCTGTTGCTCTTCTCCATATCTGAAGGGTGGTGGGACCCCCTCCTGTTGCTCTCCTCTATATTTCAAGAGTGGTGGGACCCCCTGCTGTTGCTCTTCTCCATATCTGAAGTGTGGTGGGACCCCCTCCTGTTGCTCCTCTTCCTATTTGAAGAGTGGTGGGACCCCCTCCTTTTGCTCTTCTCCATATCTGAAGGGTGGTGGGACCCCCTCTTGTTGCTCTTCTTCATATCTGAAGGGTGGTGGGACCCCCTCTTGTTGCTCTTCTTCATATCTGAAGGGTGGTGGGACCCCCTCCTGTTGCACTTCTCCATATTTGAAGGGTGCTGGGACCCCCTCTTGTTGCTCTTCTTCATATCTGAAGGGTGGTGGGACCACCTCTTGTTGGTCTTCATATCTGAAGGGTGGTGGGACCCCCTCCTGTTCACGTTCAACGTGATCCATAGGAAATCATGATAAATGGCATGCAGTTCCCTACAAAACCACACAGGTGTGAACCTGGCCTGATGGATGGGATGGATGGACGGATGGATGGATGGATGGACGGATGGATGGACATACTGTACCTACATACAGAACTGTATACATTGTACTCCTCCATAGAAGTACATGATCTCAATCCTCTGACACCCGTGTGTGCGACTCCCCATCAACTGTCATTCTGCAGCTGCTGGAACCCGTCGCAGGAGGAGAGGCCACACCCATAGAACCCATGGGGGGGGGGGGGGGGGCACTCATTCCAGCCGTAGACCCGAAGCAATGACCTCCAGCCATACAGAACCAGCCCATCTATCCTCCATCAAATGACGCAACATTTCGGGGCCACCCAGGACTGAGGCAGAGGGTTTCTGAAGGGATGAAACCGAAAAAAAATGGTGGCAAATCCAAACATCCGTTACCCAACGCAGAACTCCACCCGAAACAACCATTCCATTCAGGCTCTGGAAGTATCCACTGGATCCAATAGGAAACGATCGCGCATTTCTTGTTGGGATGTGGCGAATCTTTACCCAGAATTGGTGAATGAAGAAGCAAATATCGCAACAAATAAAGCGTGAATACTTTTTTTTTTTTTTTTTTTTACAGGAGCCGATTCCAACCGTCCAAATCCCCCCCCCCCCCCCCCCCCCCCCCCCACCCGTCACTGGTGGACTGTGTAATGTCAGCTGACTCACCAGTGCTATGCGTGCCGCCGTGCCGAGCACAAACGTAAACAGAGCCAGAGAGACAAAACAGACACCAAGCTGTCCGCCGCGGGCTGTCGTCCCGGGAGAGTCGGCCACCAATCCCACATCACGCAAATCGCCGTATTAAATATTTCGGGCGCTAACTTAGTTTTGAAGATTCTGATTTGAAGTTAAAAAACTGAAAGCCAAGATGTCAGGATCACAGAAATGACCAAAAGACACTTTTCCACCGCGGTCCCGCAACGCACATTATGCCACGCTCCATGCATGAGCGCGCTGCGGTGCAATTCATTCTGAATTCAGGTAATGCAGCTCCAAGGCAGGCCACAACCATCGGTGACACACTGCGCTGTGGAGCGCTGCATTGCCAAAAATGAGGCCAGGCCATTTTTGGAAGCTCTGGCAGCCAATCATTTGTATCGGTAATGCACCAGAACGCCTGAATGGGCCCCAGGCTGCAATATGAGCAACGGTCATCAACAAAAAACTTATTTTTTTTTTCATTTTAGGTGGAGTAGGGAGTGGTCAGACCCTCCGTCAGGTGACCCCACTGCAGAGATTTCCTCTCACTTTTATTCCTGTGACACCAGGACCAGAAATGAAGGCACAGGGCTCACAGCAGAGAATGCAATGAAAACCTGGCAGGGGTGCAAACCTCCCCACCCCATCCAAAATGTAAAGGTTGTACCAGGAGCTGGACTTTCCATTGACAATAAAGAGGACCTGTCATCCGTGCAGCATGCCAAGCAATGTGCCAGTGTAACACTGGGGGAGGGGAGACTGAGGAAATGCCTCCTCCTCCTTCTACAAAGTTACAATATACAGTCTGATCACTGGGGGAGGGGAGACTGAGGAATTGCCTCCTCCTTCTTCTACAACGTTACAATGTACAGTCTGATCACTGGGGGAGGGGAGACTGAGGAAATGCCTCCTCCTCCTCCTACAAAGTTACAATGTACAGTCTGATCACTGGGGGAGGGGAGACTGAGGAATTGCCTCCTCCTTCTTCTACAACGTTACAATGTACAGTCTGATCACTGGGGGAGGGGAGACTGAGGAAATACCTTCTCCTCCTTCTACAAAGTTACAACGTACAGTCTGATCACTGGGGGAGGAGAGATTGAAGGCGAGGAGACAGGACACCTGTGCAAAACTAAAGGGGAGGAGTCAGTACACCTGTGCAGGAGTGAAGGGGAGGAGCCGGTGCAGGAGTGAAGGGGAGGAGCCGGTACACCTGTGCAAGACTGAAGGAGAGGAGCCGGTACACCTGTGCAAGACTGAAGGGGAGGAGCCGGTACACCTGTGCAAGACTGAAGGGGAGGAGCCGGTACATCTGTGCAAGACTGAAGGGGAGGAGCCGGTACACCTGTGCAAGACTGAAGGGGAGGAGCCGGTACACCTGTGCAAGACTGAAGGGGAGGAGCCGGTACACCTGTGCAAGACTGAAGGGGAGGCCGGAGGGAGGGTTCAGTATCCAGCATCTCTGTTGGCACATTCAGTCCTCTGAAGGGGACATGGAATCACTCACAGCTCGATGGGGTGAAAAGTGGAAGAGGAGCCCAGAGGACGAGAATGTTGCCGGAGGTCAGACAGGCTCCCAGCTGCGGCGACTCTTAAATAGGACACAGAAACTGACAAATCAGGAGAGAGCGAACGTGCCGCGATCCTCCATCATTATCAGGAGCTAAAAACATCTCCCTTATCAGCCGAAGTACAGACCCCCACCCGAAACTCAGACAGCAGACACAGGCACTGCCGGAGCACCTGCCAAGAGGGCCTTTAAAGCACGCCTCCACCCAAAACATTTTATTCTGGGTGAGGGCTGAGGTGGTAACTTCATCTTTGATTCCTGAAAACAGAACACACATTTTCGGCACTTCCAGACTTCTTGTATGTCACAGCAATCTGAGAAAGTCAATTACGGAGCCATAAACCCGAAGACCGACCTCAAACCTTCAATGTATTCCCGTCACCGTGATAAATACCGACACCATGAAAGTGTCGTGTGAGAACAGATTTGGCTCCTATTTTCTCCTCTAAGCTATTGGTGCCAAAAACCCGAGTGATCCCGAGAGGAGCCGGCTGTGCGGGAGAGAGACCATTGCAGCTCCAATGTGAACAAAAGCCGAGGAGCTCCTCCTGAGGTCTCCAACCCTCATTGCTGGAGGATATTCCAGGTCGTTGGATGGAGGAGAGCAGAATACCAACTTCAGCAGTCCATCACGTTTATTCCACATGAGAAACCAACATTGTTTCATCCACCCGCCATCTTTTAACAAGCCCTGGTGAAGGCGGATGTTGGATTCTTCTGTGGAATAAAGTTTATAGTGGACAGGTAAAATTGTTGTGGCTCTCTCCTCCTTCCTATGATCTAGTGAGCTCCTCCGGGGGGCCATTGGGACAGCCCTGCTAACAAAGTTCATTCCACATAAAAAGGCCAATGAATGACCATTTCTCTTCGATCCACCATCATTCTACAAGCCCTGATGAAGTGGATTCTTCTACACCCCAAAATGCATTCGCTCCTTTGTGGTGGATTGTTGTGGCTCTCTCCTCCTTCCTATGCTCTAGTGAGCTCCTCTGGGGGTCCATTAGGACAGCCCTGAGATAGCGAGTGACCCCCAGGCCCTCTGTCTGAACAGCGTTATGGATAAGTCCACTGTTTCTGAGAGACGTACAAGACGGACTGCTGGCGGTGGGACCTCATAGCCACTTATTACTTGACAGCTTGAGGAATATCTTGTGCCGTCCTCCAGTGATCTCCTTCTCTGGCTGTTGTTGGGTCAAAATGTGGACCTCATAGCCACTCACTACTTTACAATTTGTGTCTATTTTTTTACTGCCAGTGCCGAGCTCCGGTGACTGTTGGTCAGAATTTGGTGGTCATCTCCTTATTAGCTTGTGCAACATTTGGATGGTGGATGGTGTAGGAGCGCTGAACTCCGCCATAATATACAGGAATGCAGTATATAATGGGCTTGGGGGCTGCTATCAGCTGGGGTGTCCCAAAGGACCCCCAGGGGAGATCACAAGAGCGTAGGAAGGATGGGAACACCACACTAATGTCAACAGTCCATTACAAAGTTTATTCCAAATAAAAAGCCAAACGAGTGACCATTTCTCTTCCATCCGCCATCATTTTACAAGCCCTGATGAAGTGTATTCTTTTAAACCCCAAAACGCGTTAGTTTCTTATGTGGAATAAACTGTGTGGTGGATTGGTGTGGCACTTTCATCCTTCCTAGGCTCTAGTGATCTCGTTCAGGGGTCCACGCTAACATTTATTCCACATAAAAAGCCAACAAGTGACCATTCCTCCTAGATCCACCATCATTCTACAAGCCCTGATGAAATGGATTTTCAAAAACCCCAAAATGCGATAGCTCCTTTGTGGTGAATTGTAGTGACTCTCTCCTCCTCCCTATGCTCTAGTGATCTCCTCTGGAGGTCCATTAGGACAGCCCTGCTGATAGCGAGTGACCCCAGGTCCTCTGTCTGAACAGCCTTACAGATAAGTCCGCTGTAACAGAGAGACGTATAAGATGGCGTGCCGGCGGTGGGACCTCATAGCCACTCATTACTTCACAGCTTGTGGAAAATCTCATGTCTTCTCTCCTGGTTCTCTTCCTATCTATCGCAGCGCTCCTTCAGTGTTACCTATAACGCTACCACCTCCCCCTCACTCCCCCTCTCTGTCGGGGTCCCCCAAGGTTCTGTCCTTGGACCCCTTCTCTTCTCCATCTACACCTCCTCCGTTGGTCACTTGATAAACTCCCACGGCTTCAACTACCATCTCTATGCTGATGACACGCAAATCTGTCTACCCCTCACCTCACCCCTTCAGTTTCCACCCGCATCACTAGCCTACTAAGCGACATATTGGCCTGGATGGCACTCCACTTCCTCAAACTCAACCTCTCCAAAACTGAGCTCCCTGTATTCCCCCCAGCCCGCGCTACCTCGACTTCAACATAAATATCGCTAACACCATCCTCAGTCCCTCCCCTCACGCCAGGGTACTAGGTGTCATCCTAGACTCCCATCCGTCCTTCCAGCCCCAGATCCAATCACTGACAAAATCATGTAGACCTCCGCAACATCTCAAAGATACGACCGTTCCTAACTCCGGAAACCACTAAGCAACTCATTCACTCCCTTGTTATATCTCACCTTGACTATTGTAACTCCCTCCTCACCACAGGCTATTCAGTGTCCTCCACCCCCCTCTGCCAATCCCTCCACTGGCCTCCACTCAGTGTCCTCCACCCCTCTCTGCCAATCCCTCCACTGGCTCCCAGTTGCCCAACAGATAAAATTCTAAACTCTAACACTGACATATAAAGCCATCCACCATACTGCCCCAATTTACAGAACCGATCATATCTCTAAATATCACCCAAACCGTACACTCCGCTCCTCGCAAGACCTCTTACTCTCTAGCTCCCTTATCTCCTCCTCCCATGCTCGTCTCCAAGACTTCTCCAGGGCGTCACCCATCCTCTGGAACTCCCTACCCCAATCTATCAGATTATCACCTACACTACTTGCCTTTCGGCGTTCACTGAAAACCTCTCTTTTCAGGTAAGCCTATCCTGCCCTCTGCTAATTCTGGAATCCTCTACGCTTCCAACCACTCCATCCCCTACAGTGACTACCTACTGTATCACTCACCCCGCCCTCCTAGATTGTAAGCTCCAAGGAGCAGGGCCCTCTAATCCCTCTTGTATTGAACTGTTTTTGTTACTGTATTGTCTCCAACTATAATGTAAAGCACTGAGCAAACCGCTGGCGCCATAAATCCTGTATAAAGATAATATAATAATGTCTTTGTTACGGAGATGTGCCGTCCTCCGGTGATCTCCTTCTCTGGCTGTTGTTGGGTCAGAATTTGGACCTCATAGCCACTCACTACTTTACAACTTGTGTCTTGATTTTTACTGCCAGTGCCGAGTTCCGGTGATGTTTGGTCAGAATTTGGTGGTCATCTCATTATTAGATAGTGCAACATTTGGATGATGGATGGTGTAGGAGCGCTGAACTCCACCGTGATATACAAGAATGCAGTATATAATGGGCTTGAGAGCTGCTATCAGCTGGGGTGTCCCTTAGGACCCCCAGGGGAGATCCCTAGATTGTAGGAATGTTGGGGGTGCCACATAAGTTTCAGCAGTCCACCACCAACTTGATGTCACATACCAATCCGACACGTTTCTGTGCTTGTCCTCCGTTTTGTACAGAATTGTTATTCTTCATGACGCAAACGCCATCCAGAGTCAATAGTCCTTGTGATCCCCAGAGAGGAAACCACAAAACGATTTCCTAAACTGGCGCGGGGCGCTGCGTCCTGTCAGCTGGAAGTGGGACGAGATATTTGCTGATGGCGCTCTCTGGCAAGGGCAGGCGGGGTGGCCTGACACAGACACGTCCGGGGGGGGGGGGGGGGGGGGGGGGGGGGGGGGGGGGGGGGGGGGGGGGGGGGGGGAGGGGGATATCAGTCAGGCCACATTACCGTCTGCCCCGTTCGATGTCAAATGATGCGCGATGGAAGCCGTGACACGGGGAACCGCCAACCCTGCGCTCGGCAAAAACATGCCGACACCTTTCTCTGGAGGGTTTGGAAAAATACTAAACAAAAAGTAATTGGACAATTCTATATAATCATAAATAAAATGTTGATTTGTAATATTTTGTTGAGAATCCTTTACTGGCAATGATTGCCTGAAGTCTGGAACCCATGGACATGACCGAAGACTGGGCTTCCTCCTTTCTGATGCTTTGCCTGAAGTCTGGAACCCATGGACATGACCGAAGACTGGGTTTCCTCCTTTCTGATGCTTTGCCTGAAGTCTGGAACCCATGAACATGACCAGAGACTGGGTTTCCTCCTTTCCGATGCTTTGCCTGAAGTCTGGAACCCATGGACGTGACCACAGACTGGGTTTCATCCTTTCTGATGCTTTGCCAGGCTCTAACTGCAGCTGTCTTTAGTTGTTTTTTTTTTGTGGGTCTTTCTACCTTTAGTTTTGCCTTCTGCAAGTGAAATGCATGCTCAGTTGAATTGAGATCAGGTGATTGACTCGGCCATTGCAGGATATTCCACTTCTTTTCCTTCCAAAGCTCCCGGGTTGCTTTTGCAGTATATTTTGGCTGAATCTGGGCTGACAGTATATCTGTAAACACGGCAGAATTCATCCGGCTGCTTCTGTCACATCATCAATAACCACCAATGACCCAGTGCCACTGGAAGCCATGCATGCCCATGCCATCACCCTGCCTCGGCCCATGCCACCACACAGCCTCGGCCCATGCCACCACACCGCCTCCGCCCATGCCACCACACAGCCTCCGCCCATGCCACCACACAGCCTCCGCCCATGCCACACCCTGCCTCCGCCCATGCCACCACACCGCCTCCGCCCATGCCACCACACCGCCTCCGCCCATGTTGTACAGATGACGTTGTCTGCTTTGGATCATGAGCTGTTCCAAGCCTTCTCCACACTTTCTTCTTCCAGTCATTCTGGTACAATCTTAGTTTCATCCGTCCAAAGAATGCTTTTCCAGAACTGGTCCGGCTTTTTTTAGATGTTTTTTTGGCAAAGTCTAATCTGGCTTTTCTATTCTTCAGGCTTATGAATGGTTTGCACCTTGTGGGGAACCCTCTGTATTTGCACCTTGTGGGGAACCCTCTGTATTTGCACCTCGTGGGGAACCCTCTGTATTTGCACCTCGTGTTGAACCCTCTGTATTTGCACCTTGTGGTGATCCCTCTGTATTTGCACCTTGTGGTGACCCCTCTGTATTTGCACCTTGTGGTGACCCCTCTGTATTTGCACCTTGTGGGGAACCCTCTGTATTTGCACCTCGTGGGGAACCCTCTGTATTTGCACCTCCTGGTGATCCCTCTGTATTTGCACCTCGTGGGGAAACCTCTGCATTTGCACCTCGTGGGGAACCCTCTGTATTTGCTCTCGTGAAGTCTTCTCTTGATTGTAGACTGACAATGATACGCCCTCCTCCTGGAGAGTGTCCTTCACTTGTCTGGATGTTTTGAATGGGTTTTCCTTTCCCATAGAGAGGATCCTGCGATCACCCACCACTGTTGTCTCCCGTGGACCTCCACGCCTTGTCATGTTGCTGAGCTCAACAGCGCGTTCTTCTTTCCTCAGAATGGAGCAAACTGTTGATTCGGCCGCTCCTAATGTTGTTGCGATCTCTCTGATGGATTGGTGTCGTGTTTGAAGCCTTACAATGGCCGGTGTCACTTGCATGGACGGCTCCTCTGAACGCATGATGGAGGTTCACAGCAATAGATTCCAAATGCAAATCCCGCACTTAGAATCAACTCCAGACCTTCTACCTGCTTAATTGGTGAAGAAATAACGAAGGAGTAGCCCACACCTGGCCAGGAAACAGCTTTTGATTCAATTGTCCAATTACCCTTGAAAAAGGGGGATGGCTACTCTTAAGAGCTGTAATTCCTAAACCCCTCCCCCAATGTGGATGTACATACCCTCAAATTACACCAGAGAGTGCGCACTGTCCGCCCAGATCCATCATAGAACTAGAGCTGGGATAGGTTTTGGTCAATATCTGAAAAAAAACTAAAGTTGTGCTGCCTGTGTCCAAATATATATATGGACCTGTGTGTGTGTGTATATATATATATATATATATATATATATATATATATATATAATGTACACACACATATATGGACCCAACTGTATATATATATATATATATATATATATATATATATATATATATATATATATATATATGGACCCAACTGTATAGGCATAGAATTTGGCGGCGCTATGTAGGTACCTGTAATAAATACACGCAGGTTTGGGGTTCTGCGGGCTTTGATTTGGGAGCTAAACTCAAAAACAAACAAAAGTAAAGGTTTGTTACAAAATGCTGCAGTACCGTAGAACGCCCGCTAGATGGTGCTGCATTCCACAAGGAGCAGTGGTGGTGTGACAACAGGTGGCGGCGCGCACAGCAGCCACTTCGCAGGTTCGATCACTCCCAGCGCACATGACACCCACCACCATCACCCATGGAGGAAGGCCGAGGCCCGCTGACGCAATATGAGAAAAAAAAACAACAAACAAACCAGAGACCCGAAAAACTATCCCAAGAGACCGACCCAGCGAGAGATCCCCCGCGAAGCTCTGCGCCCGCTCACCGCTCCGTCTGTGCAATCCCCATTAGATTGTCAGCTCCTCGGAGCAGCAACGGCTTTCTGTTAGAAAAAAGGAACTCCAATGAGGGTCTGCGACTAAAGCAGCGAATGTCGCTTTCGCCGACCATTCGCGGTCACTGAAAACGCATGGACCCGGGAGATTCACCGGCGAGGAATGTTTGTGGATTTCATGTCGTTCAGACAGGAAGATGAAAATCATCGGCTAAGCAGAACGAATCTCATCCATGGGATCGATCTAACAATACCCCGGTCACACCGACCCCACTTTGAAATCATGCGACTTCTTGGTTCACACTGGATGCGATTTAAAAATGGCGCGTTTTGTTTGCGATTTCCATTGCGTTTTGCAGAGCGATTTCTATTGTCTATATGTGAAATCGCAACAAACTGCAGAAAAAGTAATACAGGAACCACTTTTGAAATCGCGCCGCGGCAAATCGCGTATGTTAAGACACTCACGTTCATTAGATCCGATTTCGATTCCAAAATCGCACCTGAAATCGCAGCGGTGTGAACCAGGATTTAGGTGCGACTTGGAAGACCATCGGCGGCTTCCAGGACACAGATGTCTACGCAAGTCGCAGCTAAAGGAGCGCATGCGCTGCTTAACCCCCTCCCCCCCCCGGTCACATCAAGCCCGACTCTGAAATCGTGGAACTCACAGTGAAGTCGCACGACATGCCGATTTGAGGTGCGAATTGCGAGACATCTGACACAGAGGTCTTCGCAAATCGCACCAAAAGTAGCGCATGGACTACTTTTGAACTCGGTGCGGCAAGTCAGAACCGCACCAATTGGACCGTTCCAATTGTGGACAATAGGGTGCGACATGGCATGCGATTTGCAAGTCGCAGGGCATGCCAAGTTGCACCGACGTGACCGGGGTGTTAGCGTGATTTCAGGTACAATTTGGGAACTGAAATCGGATATAATGGCGTCTTAACACGTGCGATTTGCCGCGGCGTGATTTCAAAAGTAGTTCTTGTATGACTTTTTCTGCAATTTCACATACATAGACTACAATAGAAATCGCAAAACACAATGGAAAACGCAAGAAATCGTCGGGAAATCTTCACAAGTTTCAAACAAATCTTCAGAAAACGCGGTGAAACCGCAAACGAAACGCACAATTTTTAACTCGCATCCAGTGTGAACCGAGCCGTAGGTGCGACTTGCAGGACATGGATGTGTATGCAAGTTGCAGCGGAAGGAACGCATGCGCTGCTTTATAGACCGCTGCGGCTCCAACTCGGCCGGAATCGCACCGATATGACCGCTTTAATTGCGGACAATAGGGTGTGACTTGCCATGCGATTTGCACCCGATGTGATCGGGGTGTTAACCACAGAAATGTCCTAAATCGCAGCTTACCGGTCATTACACCCCGGGCCACGCCCATCCCGACTTTGAAATCGTGGAACTCACAGTGAAGTCGCACGACATGCCGATTTGAGGTGCGAATTGCGAGACATCGGACACTGATGTCTATGAGAGTCGCACCAAAAGCAGCGCATGGACTACTTTAGAAATCGGTGCGACTCCGACCAAGATTCCCCAGTGAGCCATTGATGAGGGCGACCTCCTGACAGGGTGGGGCTCCCTTGTCGCTGCACTACAGCTCCCAGCATGCAACACTGGCTGTGACTTGTAGTTGTGCAGATGGCGGATTGTTGGCAGACCGCTCCTCCTCCTCCAATCAGACGTTCCGTGGCGCGCCGTCGGCTCGTGGGGCGATCGGGGCGAGGAGAGGCCGCGGGTGTGCGGTGCGGTCAGACGTTACTTGAGTGCACAGGAGTCACCATGGAAACGCAACAGATCCAGATACACAATGAGGAGAGCGCCATGGCAACCGGACAGCATCCGGGAAACCTCCCGCTACGGAGACGCCACCGACCGACCGCAAGGTCACCGCAACCAGAATGTGATCATCGCATACATGCGACTGCGGGGGGCGCTCATTCCTCCCCACCAATAGGGACGCCTTTCCGGGACCAAATGTCGGAAACTTCGGAGATTTCCTCTCATTTCAGTATATAGAAACTGGGGGGGGGGGGGGGGGGGGGGGGACTTCCAGGGTCTAAACCTGAAATTTCTTTTCATGATATCATTATTTAAGGTGCTGTGATGTCATCACTGGGTCTCTGAGCTTCTTTATGCAATGCAGGCAGATCATGGCTGGTGGGAGGAGCTGTACCTGCCTCAGTAATCCTCTCAAGAGCCCTCAGCCCTGATGCAAGCAGTGGGAGGAGTTATGCAAATATCAGAATGGAGGAGTGGGTGTTCCCAGACTGGAGGAGAAGGTGTTTCCAGACTGGCTGTATTTTTATAGGTAACGCCCACATGTGATGCTGATTGGAAGAACTGAAATACTGAAAGGGGTGGGGCCGGCGAGGCTGGGGAGTTAAATGCTAGATGATGCTGGACGTCCTCCAGCCAGGAAATGAGGCGGAGCTCTAACTGGCTGCAGCTTCTAAAGCACATTGTGAGAAGCACCCAGTGTGCAGTGACATCAGAGGAAAGACTGAAGGGGAGGAGCCGGTACACCTGCGCAAGACTGAAGGGGAGGAGGCGGTACACCTGGGAAAGACTGAAGGGGAGGAGCCGGTACACCTGGGAAAGACTGAAGGGGGAGGAGCAGGTACACCTGTGCAAGACTGAAGGGGAGGAGCCGACACACCTGTGAAAGACTGAAGGGGAGGAGCTGGTACACTTGTGAAAGACTGAAGGGGAGGAGATGGTACACCTGCACAAGTTGGAAGGGGAGGAGCTGGTACACCTGTGAAAGACTAAAGGGGAGGATCCAGTACACCTGCACACAAGTTGGAAGGGGAGGAGCAGGTACATATGTGCAAGACTGAAGGGGAGGAGCCGGTACACCTGTGCAAGACTGAAGGGGAGGAGCCGGTACACCTGTGCAAGACTGAAGGGGGAGGAGCCGGTACACCTGTGCAAGACTGAAGGGGAGGAGCCGGTACACCTGTGCAAGACTGAAGGGGAGGAGCCAGTACAGGATGGAGGGGGGATTAATCACTGAAATGATACAAAAAGGTAAAAAGATACAAAGTATTCTCGGCTACACAGGAAACAATAGGGAGGGAGATTTCCCTAAATGGGATCTCTCAGAATCTGGTGCAGCTGCACGGGAGCCAATCAGCTTCTACCTGAAGCTTTGACAATAAACCTGGAAGATGATTGGCTCTCATGCAGCTGCACCAGATGTTGCTCCCTGCTGTCCCCCAATGTCGGTGGGATGATGGGTGTCACACACAGGAGGATTCTATGGAGGTGACAACGGCGGACGATTCTCGGGATCAATGAGAACGATTTTTTTATTCAGCCATGTGACCGCCGTCCTCCAACCTGATTGGATCCACTGAAAAGAGCGGTCACATGTTCTGTGAGAAGGATCCTCCTGGCGTGTTGGGCTCTGTAGATGGCGTGCCTTGTATATACAGGGATGGCGTGAAAGTCGCACAATCCGCGGCGCGCCGCCCTTCGCTCATCACCCGGCGCTCTCCTGAGCCGCTCATCTCCAAACAAGTCGTATCACACATATTTCAGGCGGCACCGAGCTGTCTGCGTCCTCCAGGAGGAGATCTGCCACACCATGTAAGGTAAGAGCGAGCGCCATGACGTCTGCTCCATCCATCGCCTGCCGACCTGACAACAGAGACGCACCAGACTCACCGCACACACCGCAACCGGGACTTAAAGGGGAACTCCAACGAAAACCATCTTCTATGGCCCGGCCACACAATGCACCCCTCCAGTCCTCAGATGTGGTGGCTGCTTCCTGACCAAGGGTGACAACGCTCACCCACCGGACTGTATCTGTAAAGGAGCAGCGTGGTCACCCTAGGGCTACCCTACAGAACTTCACACCCTCTTCTCATCTCCATAACAAAGGGGGAGGGGTTCTGTAGTACAGAGCTGCATTGAACAAAACAAAACTTGAGACTTATTGCAGCAAAGAGCACAGGAAGTTATCAGCTCCAAGACTTCTGCCAGAATCAACGGGGATGTCTGCATCTAGTGCATGGAAAACCAAAACTCCTTCGATGGAGCCTCTGAAGTTCAGAGCCACACACATATATATTGCCAGATGTATTCCCCGCCCTCCCAATCATGTGATTCAGGTGTTCCAATCCCCTCCCAATCATGTGATTCAGGCGTTCCAATCCCCTCCATATCATGTGATTCAGGTGTTCCAATCCCCTCCATATCATGTGATTCAGGTGTTCCAATCCCCTCCATATCATGTGATTCAGCTGTTCCAATCCCCCTCCATATCATGTGATTCAGCTGTTCCAATCCCCTCCATATCATGTGATTCAGCTGTTCCAATCCCCTCCATATCATGTGATTCAGCTGTTCCAATCCCCTCCATATCATGTGATTCAGCTGTTCCAATCCCCTCCATATCATGTGATTCAGCTGTTCCAATCCCCTCCATATCATGTGATTCAGCTGTTCCAATCCAATCCCCTCCATATCATGTGATTCAGCTGTTCCAATCCCCTCCATATCATGTGATTCAGCTGTTCCAATCCCCTCCATATCATGTGATTCAGGTGTTCTAATCCCCTCCATATCATATCATTCAGGTGTTCCAATCCCCTCCCAATCATGTGATTCAGGTGTTCCAATCCCCTCCATATCATGTGATTCAGGTGTTCCAATCCACTCCATATCATGTGATTCAGGTGTTCCAATCCCCTCCATGGACACAGGTGTATACAATCCATCCCCTAGGCATGCAGACGGCTTCTACAAACATTGGTGAAAGAATGGGTCGCTCTCAGGAGCTCAGTGACTCCAAGCGTGGTCCCGTGATAGGTGGCCACCTGGGCAATAAGTCCATCCGTGACATTTCCTGGCTACTAAATATTCCTCAACTGTTAGTGGGATTATAATAAAGTGGAAGCCACTGGGAACAACAGCCACTCAGCCACCAAGTGGTAGGCCACGTCACATGACAGGGCGGGGTCAGCGCATGCTGAAGCGCACAGTGCGCAGAAGTCGCCAACTGTCTGCAGAGTCAATAGCTAAAGACCTCCAAACTTGGTGTGGCCTTCAGATGAGCCCAACAACAGTGCGTAGAGAGCTTCATGGAATGGGTTTCCATGGGCCGAGCAGCTGCATCCAAGCCTTCCATCACCAAGTGCAATGCAAAGCGTCGGATGCCGTGGTGTAAAGCACGCTGCCACTGGACTCTAGAGCAGTGGAGACGTGTTCTCTGGAGGGCCCAATCACGCTTCTCTGTCTGGCAATCCGATGGACATGTCTGGGTTTGGTGGTGGCCAGGAGAACGGTACTTGCCTGACTGCATTGTGCCTAATGTACAGTTTGGTGGAGGGGGGATTATGGTGTGGTGTTTGTTTTTCAGGGGTTGGGCTTGGCCCCCTAGTTCCAGTGAAGGGAACTCTTAAGGCGACATTTTGGACAATTTCATGCTCCCAACTTTGTGGGAAGAGTTTGGGGATGGCCCCTTCCTGTTCCAACATGACTGCGTGCAATGAGTGCACAAAGCAAGGTCCATAAAGACATGGAGGAGCCAGTTTGGGGTGGAGGAACTTGACTGTCCTGCACAGAGTCCTGACCTCAACCCCATAGAACACCTTTGGGATGAATTAGAGCGGAGACTGCGAGCCAGGCCTCCTCCCCCGACATCAGTGCCTGACCTGACAAATGTGCTTCTGGAAGAATGGTCCAACCTTCCCATAGACACCCTCCTAAACCTTGTGGGGGGCCTTCCCAGAAGAGTTGAAGCTGTTTATAGCTGCAAAGGGCGGGGCCAACTCAATATTGAACCCTACGGACTAAGACTGGGGGTGCCATTAAAAGGTCATGCTGTGTGTGGAAAGGGCGGGGGCCAACTCAATATTGAACCCTACGGACTAAGACTGGGGGGCCATTAAAGGTCATGTGTGTGGAAAGGGCGGGGGGCCAACTCAATATTGAACCCTACGGACTAAGACTGGGGGGCCATTATAGGTCATGTGTGTGGAAAGGGCGGGGCCAACTCAATATTGAACCCTACGGACTAAGACTGGGGGCAATAAAGGTCATGTGCGTGGAAAGGGCGGGGCCAACTCAATATTGAACACTCTGGACTAAGACTGGGGGGCCATTAAAGGTCATGTGTGTGGAAAGGGCGGGGCCAACTTAATATTGAACCCTACGGACTAAGACGGGGGGCCATTAAAGGTCATGTGTGTGGAAAGGGCGGGGCCACACTCAATATTGAACCCTACGGACTAAGACTGGGGGGCCATTAAAGGTCATGTGTGTGGAAAGGCCAGCGGCTCAATACTTGGGGCAATATAGTGTATATACGGGGGGCGGGGACAATACTTGGGGCAATATAGTGTATATACGGGGGTGGGCGGGGGACAATACTTGGGGCAATATAGTGTATTATACAGGGGGGGGCGGGGACAATACTTGGGGCAATATAGTGTATATACACGGGGGGGGGGTATGGGGGACAATACTTGGGGCAATATAGTGTATATAGGGGGGCGGGGGGACAATACTTGAGGCAATATAGGATATATACGGGGGGGGGGGGACAATACTTGGGGCAATATTAGTGTATATACAGGGGGGGGGGACGTGGGATCCCAATACTTGGGGCAATATAGTGTATATACGGTGGGGTTACGGGGGGGGCGGGGGGACAATACTTGGGGCAATATAGTGTATATACAGGGGGGGGGGGGACAATACTTGGGGCAATATAGTGGTATACACTGGGGGGGGGGACAATACTTGCGGGGCAATATAGTGTATATACTCAGGCGGGGGGGGGGACAATACTGGGGGCAATATAGTGTATATACGGGGGGCCGGGGACAATACTTGGGGCAATATAGTGTATATACGGGGGGGCGGGGACAATACTTGGGGCAATATAGTGTATATACGGGGGGGGGCGGGGGGGGGGACAATACTTGGGGGCAATATAGGGTATATATGGGGGGGGGCGGGGGACAATACTTGGGGCAATATTGTGTATATACCCTGGGGGGGGGGCTCGAGGGGGGGCCAATACTTGGGGCAATATTGTGTATATACGGGGGGGGGGGGGGGGCGGGGGCAATACTTGGGGCAATATTGTGTATATACGGGGGGGGGGGGAGGGCTCCTGGGGGCAAAACTTGGGGCAATATTGTGTATATACGGGGGGGGGGGGGGGAGGGCGGGGGCAATACTTGGGGGCAATATTGTTGTGTATATACGTGCGGGGGGGGGGGGGGGGCGGGGGACAATACTTGGGGCAATATTGTGTATATACGGGGGGGGGGGCGGGGGGAGGCGGGGGGCGGGGGCGACAATATTTGGGGGGCAATATTAGTGTATATACGGGGGGGGGAGGGGGGCAATACTTGGGGCAATATTGTGTTATACGGGGGGGGGGGGGAGGTGGTCGGGGACTAATACTTGGGGCAATATTGTGTATATACGGGGGGGGGGGGGGGCAGGGGGGGCAATACTGGGGGGCAATATAGGGTAGTATACGGCGGGGGGGGAGGGCGGGGGCTATACTTGGGGGCAATATTGTTATATACGGTGGGGGGGGAGGGCGGGGGCAATACTGGGGGCAATATTGTGTACTTTGGGAAGATGGATGTTCATTATTAGGACGACAATTAACACCAAATGTGATGGAACCAATCAATAAATACGGCCGGGGGGAGCAAAGAGGGAAAGAAGGACAGATAACGGGACATACATGGAAGAGATCGGATTTGAGGAAGCAGATTTCTCCCTCGACAGCACGATGGAGACAAGATGTACGACTTCCGGGAGATCTTTGGAGGAGTTGCAGCTTTTCTCCGCCATGAAATATAGTTGGAAGATGGAGGCGTTCCGGCTCACATCCTAATGGCCATCACTGCTGATTTTCCTCTCCAACAGACATGAAAAGTTCGCGCTCTCCAGCCGTTCTGTGGGGGGAGGAGGACATTATGGACAATGCGATTGCTGACGTCCGTGGCATGGAGTGATTGCCCGCATTCTGCTCCGTGTAATTACCCCACTACAGGGCCTGTCCCACCATTGTCCCATCAGAGGAGGCCATGTGCAGCCAACGCTGACGCCAACGCTTATCATTTGTACCGCCCATCCATAATGTCTGAGCTCCATATAACAACATTACTGCCACCCCTACACCCCACCACAGTGTATCTGACTGGGAGGGCCTGCGAGACGCGCGTGCAATCTTCCATTTACTCCCAGTTACATGAAATTCGCCGTCCTAATTCACAACCATCGACCGCCCATAACTTAATTACATAGAACGTGTACCAATATAATAATCACAGTGTGTGACTGTGGGGGCTAGGAGGGGACATTAGAGTGTAAGCTCCTCTGGTACAGAGACTGGTGGGACATGTGTGGGGAGGGGACATTAGAGTGTAAGCTCCTCTGGTACAGAGGACTGGTGGGACTGTGGGGGAGGGGACATTAGAGCGTAAGCTCCTCTGGTACAGAGACTGATGGACTGTGGGGGGGGGAGGGGGCATTAGAGTGTAAGCTCCTCTGGTACTGAAACTGATGGGACTGTGGGGGAGAGGGGACATTAGAGTGTAAGCTCTCTGGTACAGAGACTGATGTGACTGTGGGGGAGAGGGGACATTAGAGTGTAAGCTCCTCTGGTACAGAGAGTTATGGGACTGTGGGGGAGGGGACATTAGAGTGTAAGCTCCTCTGTACAGAGACTGATGTGACTGTGGGGGAGGGGACATTAGAGTGTAAGCTCCTCTGGTACAGAGACCGATGGGACTGTGGGGGAGGGGACATTAGAGTGTAAGCTCCTCTGGTACAGAGGAGTTATGGGGGACTGTGGGGGAGGGGACATTAGAGTGTAAGCTCCTCTGTACAGAGACTGATGGGACTGTGGGGGGAGGGGGGCATTAGAGTGTAAGCTCCTCTGGTACAGAGAGTTATGGGACTGTGGGGGAGGGGACATTAGAGTGTAAGCTCCTCTGTACAGAGACTGATGGGACTGTGGGGGAGGGGACATTAGAGTGGTAGCTCTCTATTACAGAGATGATGTGACTGTGGGGGAGGGGACATTAGAGTGTAAGCTCCTCTATACAGAGACTGATGTGACTGTGTGGGGGAGGGGGACATTAGAGCGTAAGCTCCTCTGGTGCAGAGACTGATGGGACTGTGGGGGAGGGGACATTAGAGTGTAAGCTCCTCTGGTACAGAGATTGTGGGGGGGAGGGGACATTAGAGTGTAAGTCCTCTGGTACAGAGATTGTGGGGGAGGGGACATTAGAGCGTAAGCTCCTCTGGTGCAGAGACTGATGTGACTGTGGGGGAGGGGGGACCATTAGAGTGTAAGCTCCTCTAGTATAGAGACTGATGGGACTGTGGGGGGAGGGGACATTAGAATGTAAGCTCTGCCATTATATTATCAATGTTTCTATTGCACGGTTTCCGTATCATTTTCAATTTTCTCCGCTGTAAATACTACGACTGGAATAGGTGGATGGAGACCTCCAGGCCCCTCCCACAGGAGGAATTCCAGGGGGGCGGGCGTTACGTGTTCTGCACATTCTCATCATTACTCTTTAACTCAGTTGCTACTAAACACGATGTAAACATTCCACAATACCATGAGAATCCTGAGACGGCATAAAACCCGAGAAGACACAAGTCATCATAAACATGCCGGACTGCACACAGCGCAGGGGGGGGGGGGGGAGATGATGTGACAGTCCTATATAGCATAGGATGTTGACCCCCCCCCCATCCCCCCAGGGAGAGAAAATGAGGAGGCAGATCAGACAAATTGCAGACATTACAGGAAACGGCGATCTTGTAAATATTTGCTTCCTTTATTACGGTACGGACAAAAAAAAGGAAACTATTAAAATTATTGCATAAATTGCATTCTTTTATGCGGCCAGCAGGTGGCGTTCTTGGCTTCCTTCACATTTTCCAGGCTATTCATATCAGCTTTGCAGGGAAAAACAAATCTATTGTTTACAGAGTTCAATAGCTCAAGTTCAAATTTACAAACATAACTAGACAGTCACCCTATCCCCCTCCCTGCCTATTCCACTCAGAGCAGCCAAACAGAAATTCAAATAGAGATAGACAGGCTGAAAGCAGATATAATTCTCTGTGTTGTCTCTCTTTATAACACCCATAAGGCTGTGTTTGCCATGGCTGCACCCTGTATAAAAGGCCAACTCCAGGATGTAAATTATTATTATTATACAGGATTTATGGCGCCAACAGTGTGCTCAGCGCTGTACAATATAACGGGAGACAATACAGATCAATACAGATCAATAAGAGGGATAGGAGGGCCTGATCCTGGGAGCTTACAATCTAAGGGGGAGGGGCTGATCCTGGGAGCTTACAATCTAGGAGAAATTATGGCCCGGCAGCTCCAGAAAACAAAACTGCAATACTCATTTCTCTTGTCGCAAATTGACTTTTCACCCTTCGAGCCGGCGCCAGACCTTTTCTGGTCTCAAGAAGTCAATCCCCATCCCATGGAAATTCACAATCAATACAGAGTGAGCTTACAAAATTGCGGCATAGCATGGCCCCCACACATCGCCAAGAAGGACAGCCCACCCCAGAGAAAAAAAAGGGGGGCGCATTACGTCATGTGACCAATCAGAAGTCTTCTGGGTTTAACCCCTTTGCTGCCTGCAAAAAAAAATTATGGCATGCCAGTATCAGGATATGAACATGTCGTAGAGCCGGCTTCGGACTCGGCAACAGAAGTGATTTGGATGGCGGCAAAGCAGAATTTGTGCCGTCCCTCCACGTGTCCTGGGCTCACCTGTGCCCTCCAGTAGCCCCTCCACGTGTCCTGGGCTCACCTGTGCCCTCCAGTAGCCCCCCGTGTCCTGGGCTCACCTGTGCCCTCCAGTAGCCCCTCCACGTGTCCTGGGCTCACCTGTGCCCTCCAGTAGCCCCTCTACGTGTCCTGGGCTCACCTGTGCCCTCCAGTAGCCCCTCCCTGTCCTGGGCTCACCTGTGCCCTCCAGTAGCCCCTCCACGTGTCCTGGGCTCACCTGTGCCCTCCAGTAGCCCCTCCACGTGTCCTGGGCTCACCTGTGCCCTCCAGTAGCCCCTCCACGTGTCCTGGGCTCACCTGTGCCCTCCAGTAGCCCCTCCACGTGTCCTGGGCTCACCTGTGCCCTCCAGTAGCCCCTCCACGTGTCCTGGGCTCACCTGTGCCTCCAGTAGCCCCCCGTGTCCTGGGCTCACCCTCCAGTAGCCCCGTGTCCTGGGCTCACCTGTGCCCTCCAGTAGCCCCTCCACGTGTCCTGGGCTCACCTGTGCCCTCCAGTAGTCCCCCCCACGTGTCCTGGGCTCACCTGTGCCCTCCAGTAGCCCCTCCACATGTCCTGGGCTCACCTGTGCCCTCCAGTAGCCCCTCCATGTGTCCTGGGCTCACCTGTGCCCTCCAGTAGCCCCTCCATGTGTCCTGGGCTCACCTGTGCCCTCCAGTAGCCCCCCCCACACATGTCCTGGGTTCACCTGTGCCCTCCAGTAGCCCCTCCACGTGTCCTGGGCTCATCCTGTGCCCTCCAGTAGCCCCCCGTGTCCTGGGCTCATCCGTGCCCTCCAGTAGCCCCCCCGTGTGGGCTCACCTGTGCCCTCCAGTAGCCCCTCCACGTGTCCTGGGCTCATCTGTGCCCTCCACGTGTCCTGGGCTCACCTGTGCCCTCCAGTAGCCCCTCCACATGTCCTGGGCTCACCTGTGCCCTCCAGTAGCCCCCCCACATGTCCCGGGGTTCACCTGTGCCCTCCAGTAGCCCCTCCACGTGTCCTGGGCTCATCTGTGCCCTCCAGTAGCCCCACGTGTCCTGGGCTCACCTGTGCCCTCACATTATCTGTGCCCCTCCACGTGTCCTGGGCTCCCCTGTGCCCTCCAGTAGCCCCCCCCCATGTCCTGGGCTCACCTGTGCCCCCCACGTGTCCTGGGCTCCCCTGTGCCCTCCAGTAGCCCGGGACACACATGCCGACTGTCAGGACTGAGAGCAGAGGGCAGATGAGAAACATCCATTTCATCATCTCCTCTGGGGGAAATGATCCTGGAAGCTCTCAGATCTGAGCACTTCCAGGTTCAGAGCTGTCAGATCCTGGATGGAGCAGCAATGAAAACAACCTGGCTGGGGGCGCGTGCAGAGGGGGCACTAGGGGTCCAAGAGAATTGTCAGCTCCTTTGTGATAGCAATAAAGGCGAAAAAAAAAAAAGGATAAAAGTATTTTTTATAAAAATAAAAGAAAGCCCTGCCCATACAAACAAAACACAATGGGGGGTGTACAGGGAACACGGGTACTTAGATGACAACTGACCCATACATAACAGGTATCACCACACATGCCAGAGTGAGAGCCATCAATCTGAGGCCAATACTTCTAGCCAACACCAAACTGAGGAGCTGCAAAGGTTTTTAAACCGTCATGGCCACAGGTGTATACAATCCCCTGCCAATCATGTGATTCAGGTGTTCCAATAACCTCCATATCATGTGATTCAGGTGTTCCAATCCCCTCCCAATCATGTGATTCAGGTGTTCCAATCCCCTCCATATCATGTGATTCAGGTGTTCCAATCCCCTCCATCATGTGATTCAGGTGTTCCAATCCCCTCCATATCATGTGATTCAGGTGTTCCAATCCCCTCCATATCATGTGATTCAGGTGTTCCAATCCCCTCCCAATCATGTGATTCAGGTGCTCCAATCCCCTCCATATCATGTGATTCAGGTGTTCCAATACCCTCCATATCATGTGATTCAGGTGTTCCAATCCCCTCCATATCATGTGATTCAGGTGCTCCAATCCCCTCCATCATGTGATTCAGGTGCTCCAATCCCCCCCCCCCCCCAATCATGTGATTCAGGTCTTCCAATCCCCTCCATATCATGTGATTCAGGTGCTCCAATCCCCTCCCAATCATGTAATTCAGGTGTCCCAATCCCCTCCCAATCATGTGATTCAGGTGTTCCAATCCCCTCCATGGACACAGGTGTATACAATCAAGCCCCTAGGCATGCAGACGGCTTCTACAAACATTGGTGAAAGAATGGGTCGCTCTCAGGAGCTCAGTGACTCCAAGCGTGGTCCCGTGATAGGTGGCCACCTGGGCAATAAGTCCATCCGTGACATTTCCTGGCTACTAAATATTCCACGCTCAACTGTTAGTGGGATTATAATAAAGCCGAAGCCACTGGGAACAACAGCCACTCAGCCACCAAGTGGTAGGCCACGTCACATGACAGGGCGGGGTCAGCGCATGCTGAAGCACACAGTGCGCAGAAGTCACCAACTGTCTGCAGAGTCAATAGCTAAAGACCTCCAAAACTTGGTGTGGCCTTCAGATGAGCCCAACAACAGTGCGTAGAGAGCTTCATGGAATGGGTTTCCATGGCCGAGCAGCTGCATCCAAGCCTTCCATCACCAAGTGCAATGCAAAGCGTCGGATGCCGTGGTGTAAAGCACGCCGCCACTGGACTCTAGAGCACTGGAGGCGTTTTCTCTAGAGTGACCAATCACGCTTCTCTGTCTGGCAATCTGATGGACGTGTCTGGGTTTGGTGGTGGGCAGGAGAACGGTACTTGCCTGACTGCATTGTGCAAAGTTTGGTGGAGGGGGGATTATGGTGTGGGGTTGTTTTTCAGGGGTTGGACTTGGCCCCTAGTTCAAGTGAAGGGGACTCTTAAGGCGACATTTTGGACTTTGTGGGAAGAGTTTGGGGATGCCCCTCCCTGTTCCAACATGACTGCACACCAGTGCACAAAGCAAGGTCCATAAAGACATGGAGGAGCCAGTTTGGGGTGGAGGAACTTGACTGTCCTGCACAGAGTCCTGACCTCAACCCCATAGAACACCTTTGGGATGAATTAGAGCGGAGACTGCGAGCCAGGCCTCCTCCCCCGACATCAGTGCCTGACCTGACAAATGTGCTTCTGGAAGAATGGTCCAACCTTCCCATAGACACCCCCCTAAACCTTGTGGGGGGGCCTTCCCAGAAGAGGCAAAGGGCGGGGCCAACTCAATATTGAACCCTACGGACTAAGACTGGGGGGCCATTAAAGGTCATGTGTGTGGAAAGGGCGGGGCCAACTCAATATTGAACCCTACTAAGAGACTAAGAAAGGGGGGGGCCATTAAACTGGGGGGCCATTACAGGTCATGTGTGTGGAAAGGGCGGGGCCAACTCAATATTGAACCCTACGGACTAAGACTGGGGGGGCCATTAAAGGTCATGTGTGTGGAAAGGGTGGGGCCAACTCAATATTGAACCCTACGGACTAAGACTGGGGGGGCCATTAAAGGCCATGTGTGTGGAAAGGGTGGGGCCAACTCAATATTGAACCCTACGGACTAAGACTGGGGGGCCATCAAAAGGTCATGTGTGTGGAAAGGGCGGGGCCAACTCAATATTGAACCCTACAGACTAAGACTGGGGGGCCATTAAAGGTCATGCGCATGGGCCATTAAAGGGCCAGCAGCCCAATACTTGGGGCAATATAGTGTATATATACACACACACACACATATAAATTAATTTATTCATTAAAAAATGGGGGAGGGATGAGATTTGTTGGTTCAGAAGCTTTAATTGTTTATTTATAAAACAAAAATTTCAAAACATAAATAAAAAAAAGAATGAATATAAAAAAAAAAAGTAAAAATGTGTAAATAAAAGGGGGGGAAAAGGAGGAATCGGGGGGTCTTGGGCAGACGCTGAACTATCGGCTCACAGCGGAGTGGCCCTTCAGTAGAGAAGCGGTTGATGGTGTCATGGAGGAAGCGGAGCGCTCTGGAGCCGGTCACGCTGCGATGCTCTGCACAGCTCTGCGGTCGCCCTGTTATCCCTCATGACGTCAATCGGCGTATGTCAGGCGGCCGCATATCAAGAATCTCAGAGTGAGATGACGCAACGCGCTGCGCTCCCATCAGCCAAACCACAAGGAAACCACAAGCAGCGGCCCGGAGAGCTATGGATTGCAGCGGCTGATGTGTGTCAGTGCTGACACCGGGGCAACCGGCTCCTGATTATAGGGTACAGCACTGGTAAGGGGGGGGGGGGCAGGAAGACTATTCTGACACCAAAACACCTGGCCACTCTTTGGGGACAGCACTGGGGGAGGGGTGACACCATTCTGGAACCAGGACACCCTTCGGGCATTATAGAGCACAGCATGGGGAGTGGGGGGCTGAACGTCCTGACACCAGGACACCATTCGGGGCATATAAGGCACAGCATGCCACAGGGGGAGGGGCCAAACCACCCCAGCACCAGGAAACCCGGCTGCCCTTCGGTGATGGGGGGGAGGGGGGGGGGGGCAAACACATAGATCCCATCTGCCTTCTGTATAATTAAATCAACACAACGTATCAGACTGGGTGATTTGGGGTCACACGGATACAAAGGATCAGATCCATGACCCTGCTAGGATATCATCCGGTACAAATATCACCATCCGATGACACCAGGACACCGGGATCCACCATCCACGGGTCACATTCACCACTTAAATGGATTACCTCCTTGTGCTGCTTCTTCAGTCTGAGCTCTGCTGTACTGGGATTACAAGATCCTGATACCAAGTCAGATTCCTAGACTTAGACTGCTAAAATGTAAAGAAAATACTCTGATTATGTATTAAACCCCACCCCCACCGTACAGCAAGAACCGCCTTCTTCCTCTGAGCCCTCCCCTTACATCACTGGCGTCTTCATCCTCACCAGCCCCACCCCCACCGTACAGCAATGACCACCACCTTCATCCTCTGACCCCTCCCTCTCCTCTGAAAGGACACCTTCATTGGCATCTACATCTCTTCTCTCACCAGCCCCACTGTACAGCAAGGACCACCTTCATCCTCTGCCATACATCATTGGCGTCCCCCACCATCACCCCCCACAGAAAGGACCACCTTCATCCTCTGACCCCTCCCCTTACATCATTGGTGTCTTCATCCTCACCAGCCCCACTGTACAGCAAGGACCACCTTCATCCTCTGACCCCTCCTCCTCCCATACATCATTGGCATCCTCATCTTCATCCTCACCTGCCCCACCCCCACCATAAAGCAAGGACCACCTTCATCCTCTGACCCCTCCTCCTGCCCCACCCCCATACATCATTGGCGTCTTCATCCTCACCAGCCCCACCCCCACCATAAAGCAAGGACCACCTTTATCCTCTGATCCCTCCCTCTCCCCCGTACATCATCGGTGTCTTCATCCTCACCAGCCCCACCCCCACCGTACAGCAAGGACCACCTTTATCCTCTGACCCCTCCCTCTCCCCCGTACATCATTGGCGTCTTCATCCTCACCAGCCCCACCCCCACCGTACAGCAAGGACTACCTTCATCCTCTGACGACCCCCCCCCCCCCCTTACATCATTGGTATCTTCATCCTCACCAGCCCCACCGTACAGCAAGGACCACCTTCATCCTCTGACCCCTCCCTCTCCCCATACATCATTGGCATCTTCATCCTCACCTGCCCCACCCCCACCATACAGCAAGGACCACCTTCATCCTCTGACCCCTCCCTCTCCCCCGTACATCATTGGCGTCTTCATCCTCACCAGCCCCACCCCCACCGTACAGCAATGACCACCTTCATCCTCTGACCCCTCCTCCTCCCTTACATTATTGGCCGTCTTCATTCTGACCTCCCCTCACCCAGCTATATAAAAGAGGGTGACACCACATTTCAGAGCCCGCAGTTCTGTACACCATATGTCTCTGCCCCGCCCCCTTTTCTGCTCTTTAGCCTATCAGTGAAATTCGTCACACCGCTGTCCCCCACACTCTGTTCTCCTCATCTTGTAAACCAACTAAGCACCTCCTCCTTCCATCCACCAGCTCGCAAAGCAGCCACTCCCCCCTGCAAGCCTGATTTCACCTAGCGTGCATCAGCTCAAAAGAGACAAAAACACCAAAGGAAACAACTTGTACAGGAACACCAAAAAAAGACCTGAAAATACCATCTGCCTGGCCGTCTGTTGCTTCTGACCTGACACAGGTAGGCCAGGATGACGAATCCACAACACCGGTTCTGGGTCAGCTGAGGCTACGGAATACCAAGGAGAGCCAGGCAAGCAGCATTACTGGCACAGGGCAAGCCTGATCTACTATTGAGGTCTCCTGGCTCCTCATACACGGAATACCAAGGAGAGCCAGGCAAGCAGCATTATCGGCACAGGGCAAGCCTGATCTACTATTGAGGTCTCCTGGCTCCTCATACACACGGAATACCAAGGAGAGCCAGGCAAGCAGCATTATCGGCACAGGGCAAGCCTGATCTACTATTGAGGTCTCCTGGCTCCTCATACACGGAATACCAAGGAGAGCCAGGCAAGCAGCATTACTGGCACAGGGCAAGCCTGATCTACTATTGAGATCTCCTGGCTCCTCATACACGGATACCAAGGAGAGCCAGGCAAGCAGCATTATCGGCACAGGGCAAGCCTGATCTACTATTGAGATCTCCAGGCTCCTCATACACGGAATACCAAGGAGAGCCAGGCAAGCAGCATTATCGGCACAGGGCAAGCCTGATCTACTATTGAGGTCTCCTGGCTCCTCATACACGGGATACCAAGGAGAGCCAGGCAAGCAGCATTATCGGCACAGGGCAAGCCTGATCTACTATTGAGGTCTCCTGGCTCCTCATACACACGGAATACAAAGGAGAGCCAGGCAAGCAGCATTACTGGCACAGGGCAAGCCTGATCTACTATTGAGATCTCCTGGCTCCTCATACACGGGATACCAAGGAGAGCCAGGCAAGCAGCATTATCGGCACAGGGCAAGCCTGATCTACTATTGAGATCTCCTGGCTCCTCACACACGGGATACCAAGGAGAGCCAGGCAAGCAGCATTACTGGCACAGGGCAAGCCTGATCTACTATGGAGATCTCCTGGTTCCTCACACACGGGATACCAAGGAGAGCCAGGCAAGCAGCATTACTCGGCACAGGGCAAGCCTGATCTACTATTGAGATCTCCTGGCTCC